TTGCTCCAGTGTGACACATACACAGTGGTATGTTGGTAACTGCTTAACAATCAGCTCTCCAGTTGTTAGAGTGAGGCTAATTTGTGACATTTGCTCATTTCCATGAATAGAATCAAAACTCCTGCCATGGCCCTACAACCCAACACTCAAATTCCTTAATTACTTGATTGACTGATTCACTCAATAAGCATTTACAAAGAACCTAAAACATGCAAAGTGTAGTGCCAGGCTCTGACAGCAGGGGGCATGAGGATAGCTACACATGAATCCTACACTCAAGGACCTAGTCCAGCTAGAATAATAGAACACATAAAGAAATATAAAATATAAGGGACTGTGAAGAATACTATCACTCTTGAAAACAGGGAAAAGCCTTAATTGCCAGCAAAAAGAACAATAAAAGTGCAAGTCATATTTACCCAAAGAACCCTTAGTAGTATGCCTATACTTTCTACTTCTAAATTTCAAAAGTTCTCATAAGTGGAAGACAATATTTTTACCAGAGTTAATTAATATGTGTGTATATGTATATGCTTGTACATTAGTGTGTATATCAGAGTTTCTCAATCTCACCACTACTGTAGGCTGGATAGTTCCTTGTTGTGCAGGGGCTCACCCATTCATTGCAGGATGTTTAGCAACATCTGAATACCTAGAGGTCAGTAGAGGCCAGTTGCACACATGCTCCCCACCCCTGAGTTGTGACAAGCAGAAAGGTCTCTGGACATTGTCAAAGGACTCAGGAGAGCAAAATCAGCCACTGCTGTGTATGTATGCATGTATATATGAACATGTGGATATGGATGGGATATATGCATGGATGGAGTATATATACAATCTCTAGATATGGACATGGGTATATATGAATAAACAAGTTAGACAATCAGGAGAAATTTTTATAGTAATTGTCTTCATAGGTTTTAAACATGTGCACTCATTTATTGAGTTCTTACTATGTGCCAGGTATATGCAGGCAATAGCAGGGGGTAGGGGCACTGACAAAAACCCCTACCACCACAGAGCTTACAGTGAAGGCATAGACAGGTGATAAATAATAATAAAAAACCAACTATACAGTATGTTAGAAGGCAAAGTAGTGTTAAGTAGTAGAGAAAAATATAAAGCAGAGAAGGAGGTTAGAGATTCTGAAAGAAGTGGGATGAGGGACATGTTATAATTCTAAATCCCAAAGGTCTAAACATGCCAGGCAAGATGCTTATGCTCACATTTTCAGATCATGTGTTTATAGGTGGCCTCTTGAGCATATAATCTGAAAACACGTCTAAATTTTGTTAGATATAATCTTAAAAACTGAGAGGATTTACTCATTTTGGTTCATAACCAAAGGGAAGAGCATCCTACCAAATTCATAGGAGGGCCAGCACCCTACCCAACCGCTACCTCACGCCTCCACTCTCTGCCCAACCCTACAGTCTGCTAAACCTCACTTGCTCTGAAAAGCTCCCATTCCCTGAAGAACCAGTGGGCAAAAGCATTCATTAGAGATTGCCTAACCACTAGGGTTCCTTTCAGTAATAAAATGATATTAACAGATCATCAATATGAACATAGTGAATACTGCTGATGGGAAAGAAAGGCGAGGATGGATAAAAAGAATATTAATTTTATTCTTGCAAATCTTTTTGTATCATGTTCAGGTCCTAATCTATATCAATGTGAAAAATTTCCTTGTGATTCTTTTTATTAACACACTTTAATCTCCTCTTCCAAAAATTCATTTCTCACCAGAAACTTTTTTCACCCAATTAACTATAGAGTCTACAAAGATGCCACTACAATGAATGAATAAACACAAAGATATCAGCAAAAAAGAACCGAGTTTTTCTAGAGCCGGATTTGTGACATTCAGTAGGTGCAGCTTTTCCCCTCCCCTCTTTGCTTTTTTTATTGTAAATATATGAATATTCACTTTTTAACTTCGTTTTAATTGACAAATAAAAGTATATATTTATGGTGTATAGCATGTTTTGAAATATATATTATATTATGGAATGATTAAATCAAGCTAATTATACATTTGTATTATCTCACATACTTATCAGTTACCTGTGGTGAGAACATTTAAAATCTATTCTCTTAGCAATCTGCAAGTATACAATGCGTTGTTATTAACTATAGTCACCATGTCATACAACAGATCTCTTGAACTTACTCCCCCTGAAATTTTATGTCATTTGACCAATATTTCCCAAATCTCCTCACCCTCCCCAACTCTTAGTAACTACTATTCTACTCTGTGTCTGACTTTAACTTTTTTAGATTCAACATATGAGATTGTGCAGTATTTGTCTTTCTGTGCCTGGCTTATTTCACTTAGTATAATGTCCTCCAGGTTCATCCAATTTGTCTCAAGTGACAGGATTTCCTTCATTTTTGAGGCTGGATAGTATTCTGTTATGTATGTGTACTACATTGTCTTTATCCATTCATCTGGTGATGCACACTTAAGTTGCTTCCACATCTTGGCTATTGTGAATAATGCTGCAATAAACATGAGAGTGCAAATATCTCTTCAACATACTGATTTCAATTCTTTTGGATATATACCCAGCAGTGGGATTGCAGGATCATATGGTAGTTCTATTTTTAATTTTTTAAGGAACCTCCATATTGTTTTCCATAATGGTTATACTAATTTACATTCCCACTAAGAGTGGACAAAGGTTCCCTTTTCTCCACATCCTGGTGTAGGCACTGCCTTTATACTTTTAGTGCTACAGATAGCATAATTAAGTACATATTTTCAATATTCTTCACTTATTTAAGTCATAATATTTTGCTTTTATAATTGGCTCCAGTTATGAAAGCGATATATAAGAAATACAAACCTTGGCTTCTTATGGTTATTATTGTTATTTTATTATTACTGTAGCCACCACCACCAATAGAAATCACCCACTTCCAATTACTTCTTCTATTCAATAAGATACTTATGAAATAAAGTACAGGAGCAAGGCCAAAAAGAAACTTCCCCCATTTAACTAGAGTCCTAATAACAAAGAAGCAATTTTCTAATGGAGAAATATATTACAACATAGTGAAAAATAGAAAATAAGCCTGGAAACATTAAGTTGGTTGTACTAGCATATTAAATCATTAAGGAATTTTCAAAACATTTTTAATGTAAAAGATTTAAGCAAAATTATTACCCCCTTTCTGTAAAATAAGGTGATGGGTGATAGTGAAAATTATGAAAAATTATGAGTGATCATAATTTTTTGGTTTTATTATTTTCCATATTTAACAAACTTTTGGATTTAAGAATGTCTTGTTCAGGAGTAAAAGTAGAATATTACTCCTTAAGCACCCAGACCCATAACTATTCTCTCAACTAAATGCTTAATATTTGCAAATATGTAAGGTCAATTATTCATGAAGACAACAAATATCCATGACAACATAATTTTTCAATCTGATAGTCACTCTTTATTAACTCTGAAGTAACAGTCTCCAGAGTGAAAACTTTGCTTCTTGCCAGGGTAGGGACTAAAGTCAGAACAAAAGGAATCAAATCTAAAAAGGTGATCATCCTTAGCCAGAAAACAAATTTGGACACATGAAAGAACAGACTATCATTCAATCAAATTGCTGTATCGCTTCTGTCAGTCAGGACTGCAACTGGCTGCAAGGAAGAGCAAACCTGATGGCTGTTACTTAGTCAAATAGGGGTCTGTTTTCCTGCCATGATAACAAACATGGAAATAGACAGTCTAGGGTCAGTACAATGGCCCCCAAAGGTCCCAGCTCCTTCCCTCCATGAACAGATTCAATTCCATCCTTACAAATAGAAGAAACTAAAACTAATAAAGTGCAGTGTCTGGTTTCAGAACTCAAGAACTTCCAAGGTAAGTTGTTGAGAACTTCACTAGCAGAATAGGACAAAAGCTGACAGGCTGTTCCAGAAAAAGGATGCAACTTCATTTTCCTTTATTTAAAAAAAAAAAAAATCAGGTGACATCATCCTCAACAAAACAACCAAAATTTTCTGAGTTAAATGCCACCAAATGTTATTTGACTGCAAATGCCATTAGACTTGCACAATACATTTTTGATAAAGTATAATGGTCAGACTGCTTATGCTCAAATCCCTACTTAACCACTTACTAACTCTGTAACCTTATGAAAAGTATTTAACTTTATTAAGCCTCAGTTTTCTCATGTATAAAGTGTAGACAACAGTAGTTCCTCCTTCACAGGATTACCATTAGGATCAAATGAGATATCACATGTAAAAATAGCACTGTGCCTAACACACAGTAAGTATGTAATAAATTCAGCTATTATTATCTTTAACATCTTGACCATCATCATCATCACCATATTTCAGCATAGTTCAACATCCAACTAACTGCCTGACCATAATAACTGAAGTCTTTCTGCCCTACAACTCCAGAGTACTAGGAAGAAAAGCAATATACAAAGAAACAAAAATCAAGAAGCCCTCCAACACGGTTTCCTCATCTACTGGACCCTCCGGCAACTTAAAAGATCTTTATAGATCTTCTGATTAAAAAAATGTAGGTAAATTTCATAAAAGTTGAACTTTTCTCATTGTAGAGGCCCTCCTTTGCTGGTCTCCCTAGCATAGGCTTAACCTATCTATTGAGAAATCAAGCACAACCAAAGTATAAATCCAGTAGTTAAACTACTGGATTATAACAATATCATAATACATTTATATACCTTACATTCACAAATATCACATACTTTAGATTGTATGCTCCTTAAGGTCAGGAACCTTCATGTCTTTGCCCATAAATTTCTAGTGCAGTTTCTAGTGGAACATAAATGTTTGAACACACACGAATGAGTCAATTTCATTCACCCTTAGTACACTGCTATGCAGAACAAGATAAGAAAACCGATGTCCAGGGATTAAATGATTGTCCCAAGGATATTCAATAGGCATCTTTAAAGTAATGTCACCACAGTGTACCTCAAAGTAGACACAAAAGAAGTAAGTTTTAAGTATTACTTACTCTGAGTTTGCACAATATCCAAAGCAACACTAGAAGCTGTGTCCATTCCAGAGTTGATACAGGCTTGGAAGTTTTTTAAGGAGGAGAGAGCAGACTCTACACCGCTGAAGGATATGAAACCAGTTGAACCTGAATTGGAATTGGAACGCCCTGGCATCTTGAAATTATTACCTAAGTTTTCAAACACAATGAAATAAGATTTGTAAGTCAGAATGATAACTGCATAAGAAAATAAAACTGCTGTAAACATCCATACAAATGTATCCAATATCTCACAAATGTCATACAATTATCTATGTCCTGTATGCCTTAAGAGAATACCAAAGCAATGTGCCATCATCTGGGCTCCCAAACAGTGATGTACTCAACATATGGAGAAAGTAACCGTCTTCTTTTCTAAAGAGGGAGATTACCCTCTTCCACAAGATTCCCAATTCTCTGAAGAATTCAACAACAGCACAATTCTTACAACCCTAAAAGATAAATGGGTAAGAAAACGTAGACTACTCATATGATAAAATTTTCAAAAAAAGAAAAAATACTAAAAAGTTGTTTAATAAGGCAGGGTTTTGAAAACCTGTAATTTTGAACTTATCTGACATAGACAGAACTCTGAAAACTGTAAAATATATATATATAAATATAATCCTACCAGTTCCTCTAGGTTCTGACAAATTTATAAATTTGGTAAAATCCCAGATTAAGTAAAAGCAAAATTTCTCTATAAGCTCTTGTCCTCTGGTAGCACATCCACTGTAACAGTTTCAGTTGCTACCTTCATATAAAACACTCCCTAATCTATATCTTCAACCACAAACTTTTAAAATTTTGGACCACTTATGTAAAGCCACCTACAAAAACGACATGTTTGCTGAATTCAGAAACCATCTGAAATTCAATTCACTGAAACCAACTAGAAAAGTGGAGAGAATTCATATAGGCTTAAAGGACTGGGAGGGCTATTCCTAAAGCTGTATGGCAACAGTACGAAAGCATTTTCTTGGAATTAGATAGACATAACATGAATTCAGGTTCTGCTACTTTACTACTGTGTGACCATGGGCAGACTGCTAAGCCTCTCTGAACCTCAGTTTTACCACCTTTAAAATGGGAAGGAATAATCATGGTGCAGTATAACATAGAGTACATAATTAATCAGTATTAAAACTTTCCCTTCTGCTCTTCCTTTCTTAAGTAGGGAACTGTGTAGCATCTCTGGCATTTCCATTCTCACCATTGCTACCACCTTGGTTCATACTTGACCCTTTTCCTCCTCCTCTCATTCATATCTGAAATCAAATCCATCACCAATTTTGCCAGCTCTGCAGTCAATATATCTCTAGAACCCAACCACTCTCACCAATTCCATCATTACCAGAGATGATTCAAACCATCATCTCTTTCCTGAATTATTCCAACAACCTCCTACATGGTCTGCCTGCTCCCAACCTTGCATTTTTCACCAAATTCTCAATATAGCAGTCAGAGTGAGCCTCTGAAAATATACATAAAATCATGTGACTTCTCTACTCAAAAGCCCCTAAGGACTTCCTGACTCAAGAGTAACAATCAAAGAGCTTTACGACAACCAACAAAAGTGACTACCAACATGGACCAAGCAGCATTAGCATCACCTCTAAACTTCCTAGAAATGCAAATTCTCAGGCCCCAATTTGTGTTTTAATAAGACCTTCATGCATAATAATTCTAATTCTGATGTACCTAGGCTTCAGTGTTAGCATATCAGAATCATCTAATGGGCATGTTAAAATATTGATTGCTAGACCTTACCCTCAGAATTTCTGATTCAGTAGATCTGGGGGGGGACCTGTACTTCTAAGAAATTTCCAGGTAATACAGATTCTGCTGATTTAAGAACCACATTCTGAAAACCACTGCTCTATATTATCTGGCCATTGCTAGTCCTTTAATAACCCAGGCATGCTTCCAACTTAGGGTCTTTGCACTTGATGAGACAGACAGGGATACCAGTAATAAAGATAGACAAGAAAAAGTAGGAAGGGTTGGTCTTAGCTTCCTGTTGCCTATTTAATAAAATTCAACATCATGAGCAGAGTATCCAAAGTTTTCTATAACATAATACAAATACGCTTTTTAAATCAGAGATTCTACCTTTCCCCATGACAAAACATACATTCCATGTAACCTTCACTAGTCGATATTCCAGAATAAATACAACCTATTTCTGCCACAACCCCTCAAAACAAGTTTGGAAGGTAAGTGCCACATTAGAAGAATAAACCAAGTACTATGAAGTTCAAAGAAGAAATTACACAAACCCTGTATACCATGAGATTCAAAAAAGGAAGTGATTACAGGCATAACTGAGGGAAACCATAGGCTTCATGGACAAGGCAGCACTTAAGCTAGACTATAAAAGATATTTAGGATTTGGAAAGGTCTAAAATATAAGGGGCGAGCAGTTCAGACAAAGGAAACAGTAAGATGAACAAAGGTCATAAGGTAGTGAAGTATGGGATGAGTCCCCTTTGCCTTTCCTACAGGATGGAAAGATAACTGGATTTCATTCTTTGGGGGTGCAGTGTAGAGGGTCTTATGTGCAGGACAGAGAATCAGGTGGTCATCAAATGGGACTTTTAGCTTTACATATTTTTAAAAGTTATCTTAAAAATCAAACCTGAAACAAAAATGGCAAAATGTTACAGATATTAAAATCTGGGTGACAAAACGAGGGTTCTTGTTATGTTATTTTCTGTGGTTTTAAAATTTCACACCAAAAGAGAGAGAATATGAATATGAATAAAAACCAGTGATGATTTTTAAACATTTGTTTTCAACATTTTTAAACATTTTGGTGAAAGAGCATGCCTATTTACAATCTCACTTTATTACCCCAAAGAAATTGAGACATTTTACACATATAAATACAAACATATACAATAAGATGGAAAAATATAAATTCACAAAAATCAGGAGCAAAAACCAGAACTTAAAAGGAAAAGCGAGTAAAAAACTTATAGTGCAGACTTTAGGATTCTACACACAGCCACACTTGTAATAGCTGTGAGCTTCCTAACAATCGAGAAAAATGCGAACGTTGCTTTCTCCATACAGAAAAAAGAACACCAGAATCGCAGGAAAAATAAAGCTTTCTGTGGCAATAAAAGCAGTATGATTCATCATGTATGAGATAATAGAAGTTACACTGAAAAAATATCTTTAATAATATCCTTACAATAAATGCAACAGCAAACTTCCTAGGACCATTTCTTGAGACTACACCTCAAGATAGGCTAAGCACAGAACACTTGTGACAGACACTCACTGGGTGTCCACTAGACCCATTTCCTATTCAACCTGGTCATACAGCTACATACGGACCACATTTTGCAGACTTCCTTGCAGTTAAGTGTGGCCTACAATTGCATTAAAGGCAATGAAATAAGAGCCATTTCCACGCCTAGTCCATAAAAACCATACACTTCCCATTTGATAGCTTGACACACAGGCAAGCACAGCAACCTTAGAAGCTATATACCACAATAGAGAACTATCAGATGGAAGGAGTCTAGGACCCTACATCACTGCTTGGAGGAAAACTGCTTCCCAATCAGGCTCCATGCATGAAAGAAAGAAACTTAACTGTGCAAAGCCACTTAGATTTAGGGGTTTATCTATTACAGTACCAAGTACTACTATACTTAAAAAACACAATCTTGCAAGGACCAAAATGATATGGTTCAAGTATTCGGTTTTCTAGTCAGTCTTGACTGTATAAGTTTAACTGTCTAGAGGAGCATTGTCCAATAGAACTCTCTGTGATGACAAAAATGTTCTATAATCTTCATTGTCTAATATGGTAGCCACTAGGCACATGTGGCCATTGATTATCTAAAATGTGGTTAGTGTGACTAAGGAATTGAGTTTTAAATTTCATTTATTTTTGACTAATTTAAATGAAAATGTCCTCATGTGTCTACTGGCTACTGTACTGGAGAGCACAGTTCTAGAAGCACAATTATCAAAGTGTACTATATATATGAACCAGGGAGTAATCAAGAGGGAGAAAAACCACAGCATAAACAAAATTTATCCTCCCAGAATATCAATTCTACATAAATATAATATGAAACATGTTTATATTAAAATAAACATTAGCTACATTTTGGAGTAGAATATGAAGACAATATAAAGTAGGGGGTAAACTTGCAGCCCTTGGGACTACCTGAGCTCAAAGCTTAGTTTCACCACTTAGTGGATGAAAGGCTTGGGGCAAATTATCTAACCTTTCAATGTGTCACTTTTCCCTTTTATAAAGTGGGGATGATCCAGTGCCTATATCAAGGATGACTGTGAGGACTGATGAGTTAATATGCATAATAAAACACATAGAATAATGTCCAGCATATAAATCTTTAACATGAGAGCAAATATTATCATCAGCTTCAACATCATAGTACTGTGAGCAATAATACAGAGTCGTGCCTAAGAGGAAGCACACTGGAAACAGATACCTGGAAATTCCATTCTGTCCATGCCACTTAAAACTGCATGGCCTTGGTTATGTTGCTTAACTTCTCTATCTTCAGTTTGCTCCTGTGTAAAATACAGATCATCTTATCTACCTCACAGCATTATTGCAAGGATCAATTAAATTTTTCTCAAGCAAAACACGTTTTTTTCAAACTTGTCTGATCTTAAGAATCAGTTGAAACAATTACTAAAAAATACAGATTCAGGCCTGGCGCGGTGGCTCACGCCTGTAATCCTAGCTCTCTGGGAGGCCGAGACGGGCGGATTGTTCAAGGTCAGGAGTTCGAAACCAGCCTGAGCAAGAGCGAGACCTCGTCTCTACTATAAATAGAAAGAAATTAATTGGCCAACTAATATATATAGAAAAAAAAAAAAATTAGCCGGGCATGGTGGCGCATGCCTGTAGTCCCAGCTACTCGGGAGGCTGAGGCAGGAGGATCGCTTGAGCCCAGGGAGTTTGAGGTTGCTGTGAGCTAGGCTGACGCCACGGCATTCACTCTAGCCTGGGCAACAAGTGAGAAAAAAAAAAAAAAAAAAAAAATACAGATTCATGTGCACTATCTCAGACCTACTGAATCAGAGTCCCTATGGGAGAACCAGAGGAAACTCTTATGTTTTATGTTTCTGTCCTCACCCCTAATTAGTATGTTGAAGCTCTGACCCCCAATGTAATGGTATTTGAAGATGGAGCCTTTCAGAGATAATGAGGTTTAGGTGGTGAGTTAGTACCCTTATAAGAAGAGGATAAGACACTAAGGGCTCACTCTTTCTCCCTACTGTGCGAAGACACAGGAAGAAGGTGGCTGCTATAGTTTGGATGTTTTTCCCCCAAAACCTCACATTGAAATTTAGTCCCCAAGGTGGAGGTAAGACCTAATGGGAGGTGTTTGGGTCATGGAAGGGGATCCCTCATGAAAGGCTTGGTGCTGTCCTGGCGGTAATGAGTGAGTTCTCACTCTATTAGTTACCATGAAGGCTGGTTGTTAAAAAGAGCCTGGTACCTCCCCTCCTACTTGCTTCCTCTCTTGCTATGTGATCTCTGCACAGTGGCTCCCCTTTGTCTTCTACCATCAGTGAAAGCAGCCTGAGACCCTCACCAGAAGCCAAGCATATGCTGATGCCATGCTTCTTGCACAAACTGCAGACTGTGAGCCCAATAAACCTCTTTTCTTTATAAATTACCTAGCCTTAGGGATTCCTTTATAGTAACCCAAACAGACTAAGACAGTGGCCACGTGCAAGCCCGAAAAATGCCCTCACCAGATCCCAACCATTTTGGCATCTTGACCTTGGACCTCTAGCCTCTAGAACTGTAAGAAATAAATTTCTGTTGATTAAGCCACCCAGTCCATGGTATTTTGTTATAGTAGCCTTAACTAAGACACAATATATGTAAAGATTAACGCAATCTAGGCCAAAAAGAAAGTGTCTACCATTTGGTAGCTATCATTATTTGTTTGAATGCAAAACTCACATTACTCCAATGAAACTTTACTCTTGCGGATAGCCAGGAAAAACATGGTCATGCCCTTCTGTAATTCTGGAGTAGGGAAAAGATTAAGATTGAGATTGGATTGAGAGGCAAAGAGAATGGATAACACAGAAAGATGGAAAAGTAGAAACACTTTCCTCAATTCCTCCCAATAAGTACAGCTAAGTCCATAAGTCAAAGACAATCCCTTCTTTCTCTGATTTTAAGAGCATCTCCTTTGATTACACTTTACAGTCAACTTTGTTAATCATTACTAACCTGCATGATGCTCACAGTGCTTCACAAACAGCAAGCACTCAGAAAATATTCCCTAAATGAATAAATCAACTGTTTACTTGAGTCAGACTCCTCTCTTCTTTCATTCTCTCCCTCATATCCACTATTCATAATCCCAGCTCATGACTTTGTTCATAGTGTTCCCCCACCATGAGAATATCCCCTTCACTTCTCTATCTGTCCAAATCTTACGCATCTGCTAAGGTCTGAATGGTTGTCCCCTAAAATTTACATGTTGAAATACTAACTCCCAAGGTGATGGTATTAGGAGGTGAGGCCATTTGGAAGGTGATTAGATCCACCCTCATGAATGGGCTTAGTGCCCTCATAAAAGATACTACAGAGAGCTAGCTACCATGTCCTTCTACCACGTGAGGACACAGCAAGAAGGTGCCACCTATGAACAAGGAAACAGGACCCCATCAGACACCAAATCGCTTGGCACCATTATTTTGGACTTCCTAGCCTCCACAATTGTAAGAAATAAATTTCCATTGTTTATAAGCTACCCAGTTTATAGTATTTTGTTACAGCAGCCGAAACTGACTAAGATATCATCTTTCATGCCTTTTTACATTCGTGGTTTTCAACCAGGGGAGATTTTACCCCTCTCCCAGGAGACATTTAGCAATATCTGGAGACATTTTGGTTGATGCACAGAGAAGGAAGTACCTACTGGCACCCAGTGGGCAGAGGCCAGGGATGCTGTTAAACATCTTACAACACACAGGACAGCCCTCCTTCCCCCAAAACAAAGAATTATCTGGCCTAACCTGTCAATAGTGCATCAGTTAAGTAACACTGGTTTAAATCAACCTCTTGCTGGATCCTTACCCAGGTAATAACAGTGATCTTTTTGTTCCTCATACCTATGGGCACCAAGAAAGTTTAGAACAAGGTTATGCATTTCCTGAATTCTTCCTTAGAATGTTATTTTGTCTCCCCTAACAATAAAATTCTCTGTAGGCAGAGCAAAGTGTTAGCTAATGTAAAAATAAAAATATGTCTCGCCTGTTCCCTCTGCTCATCTTTTTGTATAGCACAGTATTAGGCACAGAGCAAACACTTTTTAGACAATATGCTGACCACCTTTAAATCCATGGAACCTTTGTACAAGTCAGCCAGAGTAGTGTCTCCTTTTTCAACATGCAGAGATATATCCTCTCTGAAGCCTTCTCTTATCCATACAATGGCTTGTTCCCTCCCTCATGCCACCATTCTCCCTATCACACACACACACACCACACTCCTATTATAAAACTATAAAACACAACCAGCTGCTCACATGTCTACCACTCCTTCACTCTGGGAGCTCCTTAAACTAGAACCCTGACATATTATATAACACAAAAAACAGCTCCTCACATAAAATAGGTGATCAATAAAGATTTGGCAAGTCACACAAATAACAACAGTAACAGACAACGACCATTCCTAGGTCACCTACAGTGTGCCATAAACTGGTGCCCTGCAGCTTCATTCTCATTATCCCTAATCCTCACAGCAATCTACAAAAGCAAAAAGGAAACTGAGGCCCAGAGAGTTTACTTAAACGACGTGCCCATGGCTCTGCTTTAAAAGACAGTTCAAACCAGACCTACTTGGATCAAAAATTCGCGGTCTTTCCCTTACCCACTTTGGGCTGAGGATGGAGAGATGGCGTTGGGGACGAGGGGGGCGAGTGAACTGCCCTGGACTCACTACTGTGGCGTCTAAAGGACCAGGACTATAACCCAGGTCCACTGACCCCCGGCTCCGGGCGCCCGCGGAGCGGCCCAGAGGGAAGCGACAACTCCCGCCACCCACCCCATCGCCACCCTCCCCTTCCGGCTTACCTGGCTGCCCGAGCTATCTCTGTGTGGCTGCAACCAACTTCCCCAACACGGACCCCAACTCCTTTCCTCAACTTCCTTCGCCTGTAGCTGAAACGGCAAGCGCGGGCTCCTGCGTCATCAGCCGTCGCCGGCGAGTGGTCACGTGACGACCCGCCCTGCTCTCCGCCTCCTCCGTCATGTGACCGCCTGGCGAGCCAGGGGCGGAAGCCGGGGTCTTGCCAGTTCACGATTTGGGGCTGGGGACGGGAGGGGATCGCTGCCGGGAGGCAGGCGTGGGACCCGGGTGCAGACTGTCCGCGCGACCGCCGGCCCTGCGCGTGCGCCGCTGGCGCGCCCGGCTGACAGGTGAGTCGGGGCAGGGTGCGCATCCCTTCCTTGCATGGCCTCCCAGCCCCCGCTGAGCCCCGCTGCCAGTGGGGAAGTCTGCTGCGTCGCGTGCCGTCTGGAATGGGGACTTGGGATGGAGGACTTAGGGGCCTGTAGGGACTGTGTCCAGCTCTGCTTCTGGGCTTAGATGGAAAATTCATTTTGCACACCCCTTCGGCCCTTTAGGAAGCGAGGTTCAGCTGCTGCTCGGCCCGCAAGTGATCCTTCCAAGTTTCCGGGATCAGTGCTGTGTGGTGGTGGTTATTCCTCTATTAACTTTCGCGAACCTGAGTGGTTAAGTGAGACCTTTTACAGTCTGAAGGGCCCGGGTTTGAATTTCTAGTTCAATGGGCTATGAGTCTGGCCAAATCATTGCTTCTCTCTTCACTTTAATTTCCTCACCTGTGACATGGTGATGCCAAAGTCCTTTATATTTCGAAAAAAAAAAATGTTACTTGGGTCCGTACTTGGCTATGATCTCACAAAAAGGAAAAAAAAAAGTCACAGAGCTAATGAACAGAGTCTCCTAATTCCAAGTTCATGGAGCATCTCCCAACATAGGTGAAGGGTAGTGAGGGAGAAGTTTTACTGCCTCTACCCACAACAAGGGATGCCTTCCCTAGTTGTCCTTCGCCTATCTTTCCTAGGATTCAGGAATTGGATTGCAGTGATCAGGCTCATTTCAGAACTTTTCTGGAAGAGAGATGCAGCTCACATTTATCTTGATCAACAGCCATTATATTTTGTTCATGATAATGGATTTGTGGAGTCCAGTGCTTCCTTTATGGAAGTGAGGTTTTGTGAAAGGATAAAAATAGATCTGTCTTCTTTTGTCCTCTCCAGTAGGGCAAGCAGTGGTTTGTCCATGACAATTTAGTTTCCTTAAGAAATTTTGTTTTGTACTCTTTATGTAATTGGTGCAACAAAGCTATGCTTTATTCTTGAAAGCATGTTATCTTTTGATTAGGATTACTTCCCAAACTGAAAATCACAGTTTCATGCCAACTGCTTAAAACTGAATTTACTGTCACATTATAACTTGTAAAAGAAACTAGGGAAATTGAGTGGGATCTCTGGTTCCTTTTCATGCTAATAGTAATATAGCCTATATTGAGAAAACTGGTCTTTATGAGTTTTCTTCCTCCCTAGCAGCAAGAGAACCTCTGAAGAGATGTTTTATAATAGCTACTCTACAATATTTACTTGGATGTCATTCTATTGTAATTTTTTTAAGACAAAACTGAGTATTAACACCTGTGTAGCCACCTACCTTCCTCTTAGATCATTGCAACATGATTAGGCATCTTGAATGATAATTCTTAGATTCTGTTCCTCAGAGCCAGTTTCTCAGCCAACAAAGGCAGGTAATATTGCTTTGCTTTAAGCTGTTTTCTTTAGGACCCCATTGCCTGCACTATCTTGCTGTCCAAAATCTAGTAGCAGTTAGACTTGTTTATCACAGCTTGCCCTCCTCTCCATGAGTCTAAGCCTTTCATCCTACTGAGACCTTCTGGGTTAGTTTGCTGGTCTTCACAGGACCTCATAAAGTAACTTATTTTGCTCATTAGCCATTATTTTCCCCTTTCCCTCTCCCATTTTCCAAGCCAGACCATATCAGTGCAGAAAAGGAAATGAAATTATCTGAAATTCAGCCTGTTACATATCAATGTGGTTTAATAATCAGGCTTCACAGAGGAAACTAAAAGGACTAATTAATAATTTATACTTTAATGCATATTATAAGATACTGTCGTGAGAGAGAGTTTCTAGACCAGGCGTCCTCAAAATACGGCCCGTGGGCCACATGCCGCCCTCCTGGGACATTTATCCTGCCCGCTGGGTGGTTTTGCCACTGCTCTCTGTCCTGCTTAGCAGCCAACTCGTCCCAGGCCCACAATGCACACTCTTCAACGGTCCGAGGGACAGTGAACTGGCCCCCTGTTTAAAAAGTTTGAGGACCCCTGTTCTAGGCAGCTATAGTGGCTTTTCAGCAATCTTTACTCTTAGACCTAATCCACTCCACTTTTGATCTCCGTTTCTATCCCTTGCTCACTCTGTTCCAGCCACTTCAGCCACCTTGCTATTCCTTAAGCATATCCAGCATATTCCTGCCCTGGGGCCTTTGTACGTACTTGTAACCTCTGCCTGGAATGCCATTCTCAGGATCATTATCTCATGCTGCATAAGTACCCCAAAACCTACTGGCTTAAGACAATAAACACCTACTATCTTTCAATCTCTATGGTCAGAAATCAGGGATATGACTTACCTGGCTGCCATTGGCTCAGGGACTCAGGAGGTTGCTGTCAAGCAGGGAAGCTGCTATATATAGTCTTATCTGAAGGCTCAGCTGGGGTTGAAGAGATTCACTTTCCATCTCACTCAGATGGTTGTTGCAAGCCACAGCTCCTTGTTACATGTGCTTCTCCCCAGCACTAGCAAGCTGTATAGGATACCCAAGAAATCAGTCTTTTTGCAATCTAATCTCAGAAGTGGTATCTTTCACTTCTACCACATTCTGTTCTTTAGGAGGAGTCAGTAAGTCAACCCCACTCTAGGAAAGGGCTTACGCAGGGCATGAATACCAGGAGTCAGAGACTATTGAGGGCCATCTTAGAAACTGCCAACCAGACCCAGATACCCTTGCTGCTTGCTCTGTCATTTCCTGCTGATTTCTGCTCAAATGTCATCTAATTAGAGAGGCTTTCCTAAAGTACTCTATATAAATTAGCACATGCTCCATCTCTTCATCATGCTTTTTCTTCACAGCACTTATCACAGCCTAACATATATATTTGTTTATTATCTCTTTCCTACTCTGTGTCCTCATATCCTAAAACAGTGCTTGGTACATAGTAGGCACTGGGTAAATATTTATCAAATGAATGAATTTGTATTATTATGAATATTTTCACCAAATAATCCAAAACCCAATTAACAGTAGGTAAACCATAAAAACAGTTCATTTAGCAAGAATTACAGAAGTAGTTCCAGAGTTGAATTGAATCAGCAGATCAGTAACATCAACAAGAATTTAGATTCTTTCTATGCTTCCACACTACAGTCTGCAGGTTCCTGGCTTTTTTCCCCCAGACTTGTCACCTCATGGTCTCAAAGTGGCTACTGCAGCTCCAGGCATCACATGTTCATTGGACCACATTCAAAGGCTAGAAGCAGGGGAATACCCAGCACAAACAGAGAGATTTCTCTTCACATGCCTCTTTACTTTTAGCAGGAGGAAAACAATATTTTCCAGAAACCCCACAGTGATTTACTTTTAAATCTCATTGGTCAAAACTAGATCACATATCTAACTCTGGAAAATAAGAATCTGCTCACTTTGTCCTCTATGGTAAGAAAGAAGAAGGAAGGTGGGAAATATTGCTGAGTAGCCAACAGTTGTTGCCACTGCATCCCAGTAAATTAAGACCTTTCCAAATACTACATCAGTGATAGAGACTTCCAAAAGGAAAAAAGAAAGCTTTTAAGGGTTATATAGAACTTCCAGGTAAAAAATAACTATATAGTAGGTGGCTCATAATGCGAATGAACTTTAAAAACACGTGACAAGCATTGAGGAGCATTTTGCTATGGCTGCAAAGGAAGCCCACTCCCATCAAAAGTCTTTCTACATTCTGGTTGTATGTACAGTGAAGTCCTCATTATTTTATCATTCATTATTAGAGTCATTAGAAGACCACATATGAAAGTAGAAGTTGGCATTGACATAAAAATGTTCAAGGTGTCATTCATTTTTCCAAAGGCCTTTGTCTCCCAATTCTTTTTCAAATTATTATATTTTGAAGTGTTAATCGTGTCATCATCTTTGTTTCCTTTTTCTTCTCCAATTGTTATTTGAGTTGGGTCATCATTTGTCAACTTCATGGAAGCCTGAATCATTTTTCAGCTTCATGAAAGCCTGTGTCTTTCCCAATG